CCTTACATATTAATAAATCATAGATTTAAAAATTGTTACCATAGCATGTCCCAGTGCTGGCAACTGAATGAATTTATTATTGTATGTAAATGAGAATAAAATACACATTTGTAAGAGATGTTTTCTGGATCCTACTGGAGATATCAACACACTCATAATCAGACCCACTTTAGTTTCATAACCAATAAAAACTAGGATCAAGATATTTGCATGTGGATGTATCCTTATGAAACCATAGAGTTTTAAAAGAAGGACAGCAAAGGGACAGCAATCACATAGATGTTTCTTATTAGAATGTTCAAACAGATGGTTTGCTAATGAGATACAAAAATCAAAACTTCAGAATTTTTGCAAATGTATGTTTTGTCATCAGTCTTCTCATGAGGCATACAAGGGAGGTACAGGTAATTGTAAAATAGATGGCATTTGGGATCCTCTTCTATAATAAATATGCACAAATGAATTTCAGGCTCCAATATTGCACTTGTTCCCCTTACTCTTACTACATGTGTATACTTCTTTAACATTGTATTTTAATTCTATATTCAAAAGAAACAATGCACAGAGTTCCAACGTAACTTCCCCCCAAATAACAGACCGCAAAGCTATGAAACAACACAACTCTGAAATAGATGCTGGCATAGTTCACCAGTCTAGCTTGACTTTTGCAGTTTTCCAGGCATTCATTTTTGTGAGTTTGCATGTGCGTGTCACTCATATGCTCATACATGTGAACATATGTGCAGCAGTATCTGTCCACGGGCCTCTGTTCATCACCACTAGAGACACAAGACAGATCCATCCGCACAGGAGTCTGTGAGATATTGTTTTCAAACCACAATCATTTTCCTCTACCTGTCACTGTCCCTAACCCTTGGCAAACACTGATTTATTTTCTACTAATACAATCTTTTTATGGAAAAGCATTTTATAAATATATTCTATCTTGATTTACTTATGCTTTTTCAGTGTACCGCTTTGCAGCCTCTGCATCTTGGCTACACAGGGTCTTACATTCCAGGAAAAATGGCTTAACAACATGTTTAAATTAAAATTGTTAGCACAGCAAAATACATGTTGTTATTAATCCCTCCCATAACACCCTCCCTCATGTTGAGCAGATTCTGTTCTCTCCACTTGCACAAGAGTCTTCTGTTGGTCTGCTGCGCCATCTCTATATCTTAATCAATTTAGAATGTTTGTCATTCATGGTCATTTTTACTTTGAAGAAAACTCAGAAGTCACTTGGTGCCAGGTCCAGTAAATAAGGTAGCTAAACACGCACTTCAGTGATTTACTAGCCCTGCATTTCTGTTGGATGGCACTCAGCAACAACAGGTTTGGGAGTTGTTTTTGTTTTACTTTGTTTTGTTTTTTTGCATTTAGGACAGGGTCAGGGTGTGCAGGATGTACAGGGTCTCACTGTGTAGATTGGACTCTTAGTGATCCTCCTATTTACAGCCTCCCAAGTGCTAGGATTATAGGCACATGCCACCATGGCCGTCCCAGTGCTCCCTGGGGCAGGACCAGCAAGGCAGGCCTGGGGACTGAACTCCTGGCCCCAGCATCTGCCTAAGCAGGTGCTTTAAACTGCTGAGCTATTTGGCCTGCCCTTAGGCTTTGGAGTTTTGATAATATCATTTAAATACATTCATGAGAGAACTTGAAGAATTGTTTCAGAAAGTGATTGGGAACAAAGAACTCAATGTATTTGAACCAAGAATGTTTTGAGAGGAATTAATGCAAGCACTTTGTTTATTGCATTTTTTTTTTTTTTTATTTTTTGGAGGAACTGGGGATTGAACTCAGATCTTTGCGCTTGCCAGGGAAGCACTTATTCTGCTGAGCCATCTCCCTGGCCCCGCATTTTTTAACTTTAAAAGACCAAGTGTTTTCATCACACTTATGTACATGTGTGGTTTATCACATTGTTCTAGTAGTAAGGTTTTATCACTTTAAGTATAGAAACCTCACTTCATTGGATCTTTGCTGCACCTGTTCTATTTGTCCTGTGTATTCTTTCTTTATTTTGAACACTATATCAGTTGATATTATTGTTTTTGTTTCAAGCACCATATAATTTAACAACCTTGAGAGAAAGCACGCTTGTCCTCCTTGTGTTTTTCTTGCTGTTATTCCTGTTTTACTTTCTTCTTTGTGCTGCTCTAAAATACCTTCTTTAATCTCTTCTGCTTAAAGTACTTTAATGGATATTTAAGGCAGGTCTGCCACAAACAAATATCTGTAGTTTTGCTTCATCTGAAAATATTTTATTTTCCTATGCTTCCCGAGGATACATTCACTAGTAAAGAATGCACAGTAATTATTTTCTTTCAGTACTTGAAAAACGTGTCACTTCCTCTGACCTCCATGATTTCAAATGCAAAACTTATTATATCATTTGTATTTAGTTCCATGATATGCCCTTTATGGTGTTTTAAAGCTCTTTTCTGTCTTTAATTTTCACAAATTTCTTTTCATTTATGTGATTTGAAATGGATTTTGAATTATTCCTTTGAGGTTTTTTCAGTTTCTTGATTCCATACATTTTTCTTTTACCAAATTTAGAAAACTTTAGTGATTATTTTTTCAATATCCCTTCAGCTTTAGTCTCTTTCTTCTCTTCTCGCAAGTCTGTGTATACCATTGGTAGTCTCTTCTCATTGCCTTTCAGATTCCCTCGGGCCCCTTGTGTCCTTTCCTTTTTTAATTGTCATCTTATTTCCTCTCAGTTGCAGACACTGGGTGACTTCTGCTTCAGCTGAATTCACTGATTCTGCCTTCTACAACCTCTATAGAAATGTGAGCCAATATAGTAGGACTGAATTTGGCAATTGAAATTTTTATTTCAATGATTTAGATTTTTTTCATGCATTCAGTAGAGTCTACAGGGGCTCACTACACAGATTGAACTCAGAGTGATCCTCCTGTTTTCAGCCTCGCAAGTACTGGGATTACAGGTGCGTGCCACCACACCCAGTGTCAGTTGCTGTCTCAGCACGCTCTGGGGGTGAGGCCAGCATGGTACGCCTGGGTTGGAACCCCTGTCAATCCTGTGTCTGCCTAAGCAAGTACATTAATCCACTGAGCTATCTGGCCGGCCCTCAATGACTTAGATTTTAATAACTGTTTTCTTGATGACATTTTCCATTTTTTCAAACATATCAAGATAATTAATGTTTTGCTAATGTATTATTATCAGCAGCCAGTTGAAAATCTCTGTCACAGAATTCCAATATCTGATTCATCTCAGTGGTAGGTTGTATTGGTTATCTTTTGTCATTTATGTTATGATTTCCTAGGTATTTGTTATGACCAATGACTTTACAAGTCCATCCCAGACATTTTGGTTATTATGTTAGGAGACTTTGAATGCTATTTAAATCTTCTATTCTAGGAGCTATATAAGCTTAACATCCACTTATATCCACAGGCTGTAATTCTTCAAACAATTTAATTGACTTCCAACCCTTGTAAGCTATTTAGTCAAATGGGCGTATCCAATTCCACTCAAGGGTCACACTGATCTCTACTAATGCCACCTCCAAGGGCACAGTAGCTTCCAGGGCCTGGGAGTTTTACAGACAGCGGGGCTCTCTAGGCCTTGGGAAGCATGTTTCCTGAGCTGGGTGCTGGCTGGAGAGTGCTCTCACTGCCCAGCTGCCCAACGGGACATTGTGTGTAGATGAGTGAAGGGCACCTCAGGCATGCTGAAGAGAGACACTGCTCCCCCGGGCTCCGGGCTCCAGGCTCCTTGTCCCTGGGACTTCCTCCTCCACGTAAGCGAGTTTTCCTGAAGTTGCTGGGGACTTCCATTTGATCAGCGGTAGACATGCTTTAATGGGGGCCATCTTTCTTTGCTAAGTTCTGTGCAAGGAAAACCCTGGCCTAACTCTTTTTGCTGTTGTTTCTAGTGCCCGCTGTGGTGCTGCTCTATTCTGATGTCCCTAATAACTCCACTTTTCAAATCTTTCTGTCTTTCAGAGTACTCTTAGTTGTCTCTTGCTTAATTCCACATTTAATAGCTGTACTTAATGAAGCACTTTATGACAGTTAAACTTCTTTTATTTCTCCCAGAAAATTAATCAAGAGATTCATTATTCTACAAGATTCTAAACAATATTTGGTGAATCAAATGTTCTGAGACAGAAAGCAATTTGCTCTAAAGAACAAACACAGTGCACTAACCAGTCAGAGCAAATTTAAGCATCGCTAGCTTACAGATGCTTTTCAATTAAATGTCAAGTCTGGTTTAAGTTAAAGTTCAACAAGTACTATGGTATAGACTTTTAACATGGGATTATTTTTTGTTGTTGTCTCACAAATCTTAGAGCCATCATGTTTTCCGAATTTATCTGCCCTCTGATGTGAACTGAGGGTGCTCGTAGTGTTCCTTGGCATTGGCATTCAGTGAAAGATTTGGGGAAGGAAAGCTATGTCTATCAGTGGCATCCTCACCTCATCCAAATTATTGTACTAGATACAATCATTTAATTAAAAACTTACCTCTGGGACCGGCCTGTTAGCTCAGCGGCCTAAAGCACCTGCGTAAGCAGAGGGCAGCGGCTGGGATTGATTCCTGGTGTGTTGTCCCGGCCCCGCCCCCGGGTCATGCTGAGCCAGCGACTGAGACTGGGCATGGTGGTGTGTGCTTGTAATCCCAGCACTTTGGAGGTTGAAAACAGGCAAATTACTACGTGTCTGACCTACATAGTGAGACCCTGTAGTCCCTGTAGATCCTGTCCTAAAGATAGAAAACAAACAAACAAACAAAAACCACCTTACTTCAGAAAACATTAAAAACGCTTGACTTTACTTTGAATTTTAAAAATCTAATAAAATATTTAATACATTGAAATAGACCTTTCAGTTTTCAAAAGGCAAAATATAGATGCATAGTCAAATCTAATGTTTATTTCATCATGTTGAAGCCCGTGTTCTAAATGTACTGATTCTTCTGAATGGCGTTACTAACATTCTCAATATTTTTCCCTTTCCAGCTCTAAGGGACAATAGGATCGAGCTAGTCCGCGCTTCGTGGCATGAACTGAGCATCAGCGTGAGCGACGTGTCGCTCTCCGACGAGGGCCAGTACACTTGTTCCTTATTTACGATGCCTGTCAAAACGTCCAAGGCCTATCTCACGGTTCTGGGTAAGCGCAAGGGGCTAACCTCGGGCTGTCACCAACCTCGAGTGTGGCAGCAACACAGTTCTATAAGAAAAGATATTTGCAGGTTGCGCTGGAAGATAAGCTCTTTCTTTATCTACTACACTGTAATAAAAGGCAGTTAAAAATAACTTCGGCCACATTCTCCGTTTTGCATGAAAAGAACTGCCAACGCACGCTTGCTAAGCGGACACAGCTGTATTTTTGTAAGTGACAGTAGACACCCATTTTCATGATTTCCAGTTACGTGTCTTTCTACGAAATCGTCCGTATATCGTGTGCATTCTGATTCTTTTATTGAGCGACGAAATAAAGAACGTAGTGAAATAGCTCGTGCTGCTCCATTTATCTCGTGAGTCACCCGCTAGGGACCCTTCTAATAACCCGTGGCTTTCACAAGTGACCCGCGTATGTAATCCGCTGCATTTCAAGGGCCCTGTGACATCTCCACGTATCTCTTTTTTCTCCTAAATTTGTATTTTTTGCATTTCTAAGTGAAGCACATCAAGTCGCTTGTGCATGCCGCGTGTAGCTTCTTAGAGCTTTTATTCTCTGAGTATTGGGCCATTTTCTAAAAGGTTAAAGTGACATGAAAAAGCAATACATTCCTAGAGACTGTGAGGAAGTAAAGTTGCAGCTCAAAGCTCTGTGATTTCGCCAACGTCAGTGCCCCAATCAGCTGAAATTGCCGCAGTTCACTGAAACACACCTGTGTACGGAACAAGTTAGAGGAATTTCAAGATTGATTTTTTGTGCCCACAGCTTGCTCTCCTTTTAGAGACGCAGGCACAATGTTCTATTTTAAAGGACGGATACATAGTTTTCTTTTGGGAGAGAACTTGGTAGAGATAATCCAGCGAATGAATTGGCTTTGTGTTTAGGATATAAAATGTATTTTGTGCCAAGTTGCACTGGGTCGGCTTTATGAAAATCTTCACGAATTTGTTATTAGGGGCAACACATGCCCACTACAGTGGAATATTTTAGGATAATAACTGCCTAGGGTTGATGTATGTTTTCTGTAGAAAACGAACTTGAGGATCAAAGAAGCAATGATTGCTGACTTCAGTTTATTAAATAGAAATATGACGTAATTTAAAACTATGAAGAGCACCAAGACACTATGAAGACGAAGACAAAACTCCCCATTAGCTCATTGGTGTAATATGCTTATCATTTACCTTTCTTGTTCTTGTTGTATTACGCCATATTTCTCATGCTGGTGCTTCCCAATACTGTGACATTTTAGTATTCTCAAAACTGAATAAAGTTACACACAAGGAAAATATTAATCTGCCTTTACTATTGAATAATTTTGTAGGAAATTATAATAAACTTCAACTATGACCAATAAATAGTATTGCCCAGGACATGTGTGAAATTCTATTTTTTAAATCACCTATGTCCTATTTGTATATCTGCTAGTACCTACATGTGGTTATCTGAACAAGAAAAAGCAGTAAGGCTAGCCTTTAAAATATATGGGCTGGTGAGATGGCTCAGCGGTCTAAAGCACCTACTTAGAGCAAGCTTAGCAAAGCACAGGGACCGTGGTTCAATCCCCCAGCACCACATGACAGCCAGCCCTGCCCCCTGGTGGGCTGAGCTGGCCACACACACGCACACACACACACACACACAAATAAATAAAAAAAATTTAAAAAAATATATAATATATATCATGCTTCCCCAAACTACAGTTGAATTTTTTAGATAAAGGACATCAAGAACTACTCTTTGTTTTAGAATGAACAAGGGCAGTAGTGTAGACGTAAGTATTATTGAATTTCTTCTTTTTTTAACCAATTGCTTTCAAAAAATCTTTTCTTTCTTCATGTTTTGGGTACAGGGTCTTGCTATGCAGCTGGGACTCATAGTGATCCTCCAGTTTCAGTTTCCCCAGGGCTGGGATTACAGGCGCGTGCCACCATGCCCGGTTCTGGTGGCTAGCTCAGTGAGGGGCTGGCACAGCATGTGGTGTCAGGGATTTATCCTGGATCCCTGCACTCACTGGGCAGCCACCTAGACCACTCTGCTATCTCCCCACCCTGAATCCCTTATTCTAAAATTCATTTAAAAAATAAATTAAATAAAATTCATTTTTAAACAAGTATATAGACTATAATAAAATCTTTTAAGCTTTAAAAATTACAAAATTGGGGGGGGGAGAAAGGTGCTGTATTAATTAAATTATAATTTGCTAAGGAAATATGTATTTTTAGGGTTTGTATCCTTCAATAAAATCTACCTTGCTAAATGCCTATACTGGTAAAAGTTAATGCACCCCGAGTGGTTGCTTTTAATATGTTCCTAGTACTTTTGCACATAAAATTTTACAATTTAATTTTAACACCTACTTGAAACTAAATTAGTATTAGAAACATTTTGAGTAGTACGTATGCAAACCAGAAGGGTTATTCTGTTACACAATAGTTTATATCAACATTTACGTCACAAATTTGTTTTAATTTCAGGTGTTCCTGAGAAGCCACAGATTAGTGGATTTTCATCACCAGTGATGGAGGGAGACTTGATGCAGCTGACTTGTAAGACGTCTGGCAGCAAGCCTGCGGCGGATATAAGATGGTTCAAGAATGATAAAGAAATCAAGGGTAAGACTGGGGAGGCATGCTGGAAGACTAGAGCGGATACACTCGTGCATATACTAGTGAATGCACTGAAACTATTAGGGCATTCAGTGTAGCGAACATTGTGTTTTACATATTTTAAATCATATAATTATATTCAGATTGAATTCAATTTGAGACAGAGTTACCCATTTATGAATATAGGTAATGTCACTAGGCATGTGAATACAGTCTCTATGTGCCTTACTTTTCCACTTAGTAAAGCAAGATGAAAACAATTCTATACCTCGTAGGAACATCAGAGCACTGAGTTAATAAATGGGGAAGAAAAGATAGATGCTTGAAAATACCTAGCAGGAATTCATACTAGATGTCATTATTTCAGAATGTTTCTATATTTAAATTATAATTACTTGTCTCAGTGAAAATGTAAAATTCATTCATACATCTGAATTTAAGTCCTTTTCTCTCACTCTTTCCTTCCCTCCCCTCCCCTTCCATTCTTTCACTCTCCTCGCCTATCCTCTTACCCTCTCCCTCCCTGCCTCTCTCACTTTCTCAATCTCTGCATCTCTCTGTTTTTCTCTTTCTGAAAACAAGTGCACACACACAAACACAAACCTAAGAGACTGGGCATGGTGGCGCATGCCTGTAGTCCCAGCTCTTGGGAGACTGTAAACAGGAGGATCAGTATGAGTCCGATCTACAAGTGAGACTCTGTAGACCTTGTAGACCCTGTAATAAATACATAAAAAACCACAAACATATATTTTAAAGGGAAAATATGTTTATATTACAAATGCGTAGTATGGCTATGATTAAAATAGTTTCAAACAATCACAGATATTTCAAGTCTGATGTCAGACATATATTAACATCCAAACATAAAGATTCTTTAGGTTGATCAATAAAGTAACTTACATATCACATAGTAAGTTTATTATGTGCAACATAATTTACAATGAAATAATTTATGCCAAAATTTCTGATTATTTTGACTTATAATTCTAATACCTCAATCTAATTCTTACAAGTCAGTGTGCAGGCCAAGCACATAGAATTACATAGATATCTAATAAATCACAGGATTATAATCTATGCAATTATTTGCCAGTTTTCTATTTTGATTTTTCTCTGTATTTTTACTCCAAACCTAGAATCTTATCTAGAATTTCACTGTAATCATGACCTTTGTGTTTTACCTAATAAATATGTCTCGTGAGAAATACAAGACCAAAGGCACAATCAGGACATCTTACCCTGCTAAAATAAACAGTCAATTAACTACTTAACCTGTTTCTGATAGGGTTCAGTAACATCCATTCCAGGGTATGTTTGTTACAGCATTTCTGAAATTTCTTAGATCTTCTTAAATAAACTCTCCATCCTGCTTTCTGAGTTACCTTATAATAAAAATCTGCTCTGGTCATGTTTCTGTGTATGTTTTTCTGATAGAAAGCTTCAAACTGTAGTATAAGTTTAAAATCCACTTCTGTAGCTTAAGAGAATTCTCTAGGAAGTGATTTTTCTTTTCTTTTTTTTTTTTTTTTTTTTTTTTTTTTTTTTTTTTTACACATGACCTGTATATTTTTCGTGAAAGTTTTTGTTTGTGGTAGAATATACTTTTTTTTTAAAGAAGCTTGAAACAAAGTCATTGAAATGAATTGTTTAATAACTTACATGCATTCCTTCCTTGATCCTGACATAATTAGTCAGTTCTCAATTTCTTAGCATTTTATTTGTGTCCCAACGGTTTTCTCTCTTGTATCCTCGAGGAAGATACAGACTCTAATATATTAAGTACTTCATTAATGTTGATTGATTGTTTTTAACATTGTAGCCTCATGAGAAGCACAAGCTGTACTCAAAGTTGTATAAAAGAACTTAATTGGCTATAAATTTGGCACAAGCTTTCAACGCTAAATACATTTGATCATACATCATCGGGGGGTGAGAAGGTAGTTTTTTGTTTCGCATTTAGGAAAAAATGTAGGAAACTTGATCCCATAAACACTACAGTGTCACCTGGCTCATCATGATAGCACCAGTTGAGAGCGAAGTGTGGAAAATTAACACACAGTTCTATTCTCTCTGCATGGATAGTGAAGCCGTTTTCCTTTGTTTTAATGTTGCTCTCATGGTTTGTGTCTACATGACGTGCACCAGGCCGTGGGCGGCCATCTAGACCAGAACAGCGGCTGTATAGAGAGCATCTGTTGTCACGATACTTACCTAGTTTTTCTTTATATGTAAATAAGGTGAGTGCAGCAGTATGCCCAGAATGAACATTCATTATGCTTGCTTCCCGGGACATGCTAACTGAAATTCCATGTGACAGTCTCTTTAATAAGCACCATTCGCAGAAAACACTGCTCCATCCTTATCTTGCAATTTCTGGTCTTTTCAGAGGTAAAAATTTGACTTCCTCGTATGATTGGACTATTTTTACTTATACTATCACTTGACACTATGAGAAAAGATATTCCCTAGTAGGAAGCAAAGGGAAAAAAATGAGGCCAATCAAATCCAATTAAATTCATTTCAATAAAAAATAGTTAAAATACCTCCAAAAATCACAATATATAATTACCTGTAACTGAAGATTCAAATTAGCAAATCAAAAATCTTGACCTGGAGAGTCAAAACTGTCCTAGAGATCATTAAATAAAATGATGGAGGGTATTTTGCATAAAGAGGACTGTCTGTTCAGGTCCCTATTTTTTTTTTTTTCCTTTAGTGTCTAGTAGTTGAATTTCATTTTCAAGTTTCTAGATGAAGATTACCAGGAGAAATGCTACTCAATCACAATGGTTTTTGTTTTTATTTTGTTGTTATTTCATCTTCTTCGACTAGATTTCAATGCTGAATTATAAGACAGTGATTTTTATACATTAACAGGCGTTATTTATTACATTGAGGGTTTTTTGAATCATAGATGCTGAGCCTCTCACCGTAGCTATTCTAGTTGCATAGTTGTTGAAATTCTTTTTTTTTTTTTCCTTTTATTGTTTTCTTTCTTTTGGTGGAACCAGGGATTGAATTTAGGCCCTTGTGCTTGCCAAGGAAGCGCTTATTCCACTAATCCATGTCCCCGGCCCCCATAGTCTGAGGTTGACCTGACAATATGTTTGTGAAGTTTTGTGCGAAGTGTGTGAATGATCCCAGTTATTCTCTTTGAGGGCAGCATTGTTGTAGAGAACATAAAATGAGGAATATCAATAATCCTAAAAAAATCCTCTGAGTTTTGTCTTCTTATCTGCTAAATGAGGACAGCAATGCTTATCTCCAAATGTTTCTGCAGAGATTTTATGTGAACCAATATATAAAAAACTTTGTCAAGTACAAGGAATCGCTCAATACTTTTTATAAATTATCTTTCATTATCATTCACAGCCAGCCAACAGTGAATGGGGAGCCAAATCAAGCTCTAAATTAAACCCAAATATAAACAATTAAAAGAGATGCAGTCCCAGTTTGTAGCGGGACATATGAGTATAAGACCCTCAGACACGAGGATAGGGACTAGCAGCAGTTTTTGCACAGGAAAAGCAGCGATGGACTTTGCTTTGTGTTGAAAAGTGAAAGCACAACTATTGATTCATCCATCTAGATGCTCAGTAACTGTCTGCTCACTGAGTAACTAGGTGTCAATGAGTGGGATTCTTAGCGTGGGCTGGGAAAAAAAGTAGGTAGGAAAGGCTTTTGAAGAAGACGTTTTTTCATCATATTCTGTAAGGACTTAAAGTTCAACACATCAATACTTGATGAAAAATACCTGTTCCATGTTATGCCTAAGATGTTTGTTATTCAGACAGATAGTGAGGATAAGCTTAACAGCCTAGGTTGTATGGTAATAACAATAAGCTTGTCTTCTGGAGAGTTAACAACCTAAGTATGCAGACCAAACTTATAGAGAAAGTAGGGCCACCAGAAAAGCCAACGTTGTGGCCCTAGTCTTCCAAGGTCAGTTAAGACTCAGGACATATGAGAACTTGTACTGTAATGTCATGTACCTCGGTAGTGTCCCAAATTTTCTGATCAAGAAGATCATGAGGCCACAGAGGAAAGTGATCAATGATGTAGAGTGTACCTAAGGAGAGTCACATGGAGAGAGAACATTCTCTCAGGCTTTCACAGAGAGCACATTGGCCAAG